CCTTAACCCAACCAAGCAACAGATAACAAAACCACACACAAGAGAGAGGAAATGCATTTCATTCACATACACAAGGTCACAGAATTTGCAGATAATAGAGAGAAGAAAAAAATACCACATTCTTAACACCCATCTCTCAGCATTTACTGATAATGAAGAGAGATTTTATCTCATTTGAGAAACACTTAGAATCCATTTTAAGTAACAAAATCTATTTGACTTTCAGCACATTAGTTAAGAATATGTTTCTTTTGTTTCTACATCCAGGCTCTGGATCCGAACTACAATCTTCTGCCTCTCGCAAAAGCACAGATTGCCCTGGCTTGTTGTCCAAAGTGGATTTATTGCCAGAAAACCATAGGGGACTGGTAACTCTGCAAGATGACAATCTGTTTATGCCAAGAACTAAACCTGACACTGGATGTAAAGCGACAGTGAAACCTTGCCCCCCCACAAGCTACTGCCTGCTCATGGATTTTAACGCATCCTTAAGAAAATGTGCATCAACAGGCAAAGAGACAGATCACGCTTTAGACCCATATTAACCTTCATCTAGCTCATCAGAGCAATCAACAAAAATGATAGAAGTACAAGCTTCACTCTTTCACCTAGGTGGGAATGATCTTGTTATCTGTGGTCAAATCATAGTCAATATGGCAAAAAAGAATCATAAATCTACCAAGTCTGACTGAAAATTGCACAGCATAAAAAAGCAAAACAAAACAATACTACTGATGCACTTCCATTTAGGCACAAGGTTTGTGGGGGTTTTTTTAATAGATTCCAGTTCACAAGGAAGCCACATAGATTTTTGATGTGTTGTACCTTGATTCTAAGTTTTCTCTTTCAGCATGAAAAAAGCAGAGGACAAAGACGGGAGTACAGGCAGCAGCTCCTGAATCCCTTACCACTAAAGGTGACATATTTCTGTTATACAGCACAATAGGAACAACAACACACCAAATCACTGCTCAAAAGATGGGTATTTAAGAAATGCATACTCACCTTTATAACCTTCTGTTCTTAAAAAGTTCTAATACCACATCTGATATTAAAGAGAGATTGGTAGCTCTCCCTTTCTCCCATTGTCTCCTTTTACATTTACAACCCAGTAATTAGAACTGGCATGTACAGATGCCATTTCCTGTGGTTCCTATAAAGTTTAACATTTTGAATCTTTGCTATTGTTTTAGGGCCCACAGATGACTCAAGATGGAAATCACCATCCCTTTTGGGCTAGTCATCTTTTTTTTCCACTTCCGGAACTGCTCTACTACATAGAGCTATAAAATCCCCAGAGTTCTTGAAACAAAATGCAAAAGAAAGAGAGGAGGGGTGGAAAGAGGAGGAGGATGCATTTCTCCATGCATCTTCAACACATATTCTAACAAAGTAATTTCTGTGTAACAAACAAGCACTTTCCCTAACTGCCCTGCTCCTCATCTTCTTTGTAACCGAGCTGGAGCAAAGCTTACATTTGTTCCATAATTCCAGCACCACTGTGACAATGAAATACAACAGCATAAAGAACAGGAGAGCTGTCAAACCACCATGGAGTAAATTAACGCTCCTCTCCTCAACAGACAACCTTTGATTCCATAGAGAAAGTGAAGTATCACCAGATTTGAAGTTTCACTACTGAGCAGATGAAGGGTGAAATATTTTCTGACATTATCCTGCTGTGAGATTTTAAGCATGAGATTAGATTTTTTCTTTTTTCCACATACTGCTTAGTATGCAAAACGCATTTCTGATTATCCATCCCGTATGTGTCATTCATGCTTTTCACGCACTAGTGAATTCCAAAGGTTAACTATACTATTTAATGGGAAGTAGCACAAGATTATCATTTTACTGCAGGATCTGGAAGAAGATTAAATTAGGATAAAAAAAAGTTCCAAAACATCTGGAACAGTGTCAGCCAGTTTAATAATAATCACTCTCCTTTGTGAGAAGCTGTTATCAGTGGAACAGGTGAGGAAAGGTGAAGAGGAGAGGAAGAAGCCACATCTCTAAATCACATAGAAAACTGCCTTGTAGAAGAAATACAATGTTCTTTAACCACTGCTGTTAGGTTTGTTTGGCTGGGGGCAGGATGGAGTGAACATGAGTATTTAGAACATGCAGCTGAATTTCAGATAGCTCTAGTGCCCACAGTAAGCAACATAAGGACGTTCAAATAAAAGGAAAAGAAAACACATGAGAACATATGGCAAATAAATAAAGAGGGGAAAATACACCCCAAATGCAGGAAGTACTCATTAATATTTAGGGCAATGTCTTTAAACTCCACAAGAGGTCGGACATCTGCTTAACTTCTTCCAGGACCAGTGAGGAAAAAGCAGTGAGTCACTCAGTCGTGACTTTTGTGGATGGAATAAATTGATCCATTCCTCTAGTAGTAAGACCAGGAAGGAAGTGCTCAGCAAAAATAATGTATTTTAGAAGTCTAGAATCACCAAAGTTTAAATTGCTTTACTTTCAAAGGAGGGAAAGAAGGTCACCTGAACAACTTCCTTCATCCTCCAACTCTTGCATATGCACCACAGTGCAGACATCTTTTCTCTCACCAGCCACTTTCAGTCTCAAGGATGCCTGCGTTTCAGTTAATGACTCCAATATATGGCCTAAGAATGCTTTGGGATTCTCCAGGTCCTAAACAAAACACTCTCACATAAATATTTATATTGAAAGTGTTTCCTGCTCCTGCTCAAATAGAAGCACTGCCTTATCCATCACTGGGACACAGTTAATTGTATAATGTGGTAGGTTTGTGCTTTGGTGCTAAGCAAGGCTGAATTATGCTTGAGCACATGAGAGGAACAATGTGGCCACGGTATTTCAATGGCTTGCTCAAACTGAATAAGAGGAGAGGGCAGTAGGACCAAGACAATAAAGAATATTCTTTTCCTATTGAAATTTGTGAATCTTAATTGGTGGTATGGCATAGGGTACTGAAATACATGAACAGATATAACAAATGTAAACAGGATGCAATGATGTCACCCATTTGTAGTGGTACTGGTCTGTGTTAGGTGGAACAGTGCTGCCTGCTGACCTACATCTCACATTCTACTTTCTCCAGGCTTCCTTCCTCCCCACATCCTTTGATTCTGTCCTCAGATCAAACTGACAGTTTCAGAGAAAATGGCTGCTGCCTTGTAATCTCTGCTTCTGAAAGCAAAGCCACAAGAGACAAGCATTAGCAGACATGTCTCTCACACTACATTTGGAAGGCAAGATTCATATGTGGGGATGGAACGACATTTCTTTAAGCATGCATTTTCTCATCATGTGTGTGGTCCCACTGCCCTTCATGATGAAATAAGGACATGTCCTGCAAATCAACACACAGCACAACTATTCACCCAAAAAGCCTGCAATTGTTTATTACAAACACAGTTAAACATCATGAGACAGCAAGAACTGCTTGGGACTTCAGACCTTAAGACCTTATTAAGACTGCACCCAAGATCACTTCAGACAGAAACAAAATAGGGAGAGTTAAATAAGGACCGAACATGCTTAGAGAAAGGGGAGATAGGTGTGACTTTCAGTGGCAACTGTAAGAACAGGCAGCAGCAGGCAGCTGCTCAAGATGCAGCTCTCAAGATGTGAGATGAAGCCTTGGGGATTGCTGTGATGCAAAAAACCAAATGAAATGGCTTTGTGGTGACTTAATTCTCAGGGTTTTTTACTAATCCTAAACACATTGGCAAAGAGAATGGTTTCCTTTTCAGTAGTTCCCTGGAAGCTAGCATGGGCACTGCTTTGCAAGATCAAGTTCTTCCAAAAACAGAATGAGGGCCATCATTGACCCTCCCACCCATTTTTGTAGGTCTGTCTCAAACTTTGAATCTTGTTTGAAGGGCTTTAAAACATAGGGGGAACTCACATTTCTGACATTTCTAAGAGTCAACCAGCTGTGCTGGTACCAGACTGGCACACAAAGTAAGTGCCACATTACATGCTTTGGGAGTGGCACTGACATTCCACAACCTCAGTAACAGGACACTAAATCGAAGAACTACACTGGGTACAGGAGAAGGAAACACCATAGCTCTAACAATAGTGCAGAATCCTCTGGGAAAGCATCATAACTCTGTTCTTGAGCCATACAGAACAACATGCTTAGACTGATGAGATAAAACTGTCTTCCTCTAGTGGCTGGTAGCCAACACAGCATTATATTCAACAGATATAATGATGATTTTCATTTAACCCAGCCAGCAAAACCTTGGGCTTTTTGATGGTAAGTATCCCAAGTGCTTTGGAATTGATGCCTCATGCACATTACTGAGTCAGTGCTACTGATGTCTACATTCCTTCAATTAATAGGAGCTTAGCAGGAACAGTAAGTTATTTAAAGAAGCTTCAAGAAATCACTACTATTTACGTGCTTAAAAAAGTCACGCATTACATTTGTTTATAAGCTGGCTGGAAAAGAGAAACTATAGAAGACCAAGGTTTTCCAGACAGCAGAGACAATGTCCCCAGTGCTTTTGTTGGAGGCCCACCTCCTCAAAAAGGAACTCCTGGTTTTGGTCCAATCTTCACCCTTGAGTTCCTTCTACCTTCCATTTCCCCTGCTTCTACTTGGTCTTCAAAATACTTACTTCTTTGGATCCCAAGAAAGGGTGCTCTGAAGCACAAGTGAACTGAAGGCTCAGAACCTCTTTCAAAGTATTTTAAGAGTACTGTAATGTTAATAAACCACTCTGGGGAAAGTACTAGTAAATAGCAGCCCACCCCAGTACCGCCCTTTCCGCTACTGGAGGTACCACCTCATAGGGGTTGGAATACACAAGAGAGCAGCTGTTAAGCCACTCACAGAAGCTAGCTATCCTTAAGCTGCATTTGGAAGACAAAAGTGTGTTGAAGGATGTCACGATGAAAGCAAACAAATGAAGTGGACAGTAAGGTGGACAAGTAGATGCACAGGGGCAGCAATGAAATAAAAGAGGAGTGCTTGAGACAGGAACTTCTGAAATCAATTATACCTTCACATCCACGCTCAATCTGCCCGCTGCGGTGCAGAGCATCATTGATTAGGTCAGGCAAACGCCCATTCAAGTCCACAGACGCTAGACAGCCCTGAAATCCATCACGTGAGGCCACCAGCTTCGGAAGGTTGCTATACATGCCTTGAGCTAGGCCAGCAATGTAGAGATCACCTAGAGGAGAAGGGGGTAAACATACCAAAAGGAGGAAGTTACACACCTTCTAGAGTGGCCTTCCCCCCGATTCCCGACAGGAATATAGCAAGCTGAACAGCTTCTCAGAAAAAGTTTGAAGCAGAGCAAGATTTTGTGCAAGAAGTCATTTCTGCCTCCTTTACTACAAAACAAAACCAACCAACAAAACCCCACAACAACAGAAACAAAAAAAACCCACCACAAAAAAACCCAGTTGTAATTGCATCCTAACTAGGAAAAACTGTAGGACAACAACCAATTTCAAAAAAAGTAAAATATGACAAACTGCTCCAGGAAGTTGCCAAACAGAGAAAGAAAAAAATGAAATTGAAATCCAAAAATTAGCAAATGCCAGATTTACAGTTCTACAATACATAGTTCCTGCAAGCTCGTTTTTACTGGTTGAGCCCCACAAGAACGAAGGAAGGAACCATCAGTCTTGTAGAATTTACCTTTAAGATCCAGATTTTTGGCACCATTGATAACCTGAGTGACCACCTTAGTGTCCACCTTTAGGCTGTGTGTGTTACTGTTATCTCTGGTGATAACAACATTGTGCCATTGGTTGTCATTAAGAGGACGATCACTGTTGCCTTTGATAACATTAGGTCCATTTCCAAGGTCAAACACATAGTGTATATACCTGTAAACATAGAAAGAACTAGTTAAAATTGTGTAAGACCCTTACTCTAACCAGAGTTGATAAATTAACTTACAAAAGTCATGAGGGGAAGTATCTTGGGGTTAGAAAGTTCTAGGAAGCCAAAATACTAGCTGCTGATTTGAAAAGACACAGGTGTTTCCTTTCCACCAAGAAAGCTTAACTGAAAAAGGATTAGTACTTTAAGATGACATTTGGACTAATCAGATTCTAACCATAAAGCATTCCTCTTTTTCACAAAGTTCTCGCAGACCCAGAAAAACTCTGTCCGTGCGTACAATTATTTTTTAAAATTGGTAATATCAATAAGTGTACTGGAGAGCAACACTAGGTACATTTATTTGGGGCATATATTCCCCAGATTCATTCTGAGTTTTGAATAACTCTCTTAAGAAGTCAATTGGGAAACTCACTCAAAATATTGTACTAAAATTCACATGAGATCTTAGGCTTTTTCAAACAGCTGGAAAACAATTAGCAAAGCTTTTGGCAAAAAATAAAGACCCTAACGAAGACTGAAGTAATGGGAATGTTACCCTGAATTATTTATATAGTTCAAACACAGGAATCCACCTGAGGATAGAAGAGAAATATTCTACTTAGAAAGGAGGGGGAAAAAACAAACAAAACCCAACAAAATTCAACTCTCGGAGCTCCAGGAGCTCATGACTCTTGCTTTTTTTATTACTCAATGTCCCACTTACAAAAATATGTGCAAAGTTAAAAACAAAGCTGGATTGAACTATCACTATACTGAAATAAACAGGACTAGTAAACTGTATTTGTGGAAAACGTGTCTACTGTGACTATGTGAGTATAAGAGATGAAGATCTGTTCAGCTAACAAAAATTTCTTTTAAATAAGCTTTTGGTCTTGCAAAAGAATGTAGTGGTTCAAAAGCAAGCTGAGTTCACTTTTCCTCAAGCATCATCAGTAGAAATACAAATTCATTAGCCCATAAGCTCTTTTTTTTCCTTCAGTGGAGATGGCAGAAACAAGAGTGTTACAGGGGAAAAAAAAAGGGGGGGGGGAGGGGGGGGAGGGAAAGCTCAGAGCCCTCAGCACATTTCCTCCTCCTCTGTGCTATTCTGCAAGGTTAACAGGACAAAAATTATCCTAACTAGATCCAAAGGACTTAGAACATTAATGTTTCACACTGTAAAAGCGTCTTCTCCTCAGCCACAGGGGGAAGTCAGTGATAAAATCAGGAGTCTTAAGCTTCAGTGTTTATACCTAAGTGCTTTGTCAAACACCCCAGCAAACAGAAAACGCAAGTATGAGGTGAATTTCTCTTTATGCAAGAATTTTATGCATACCTGTAAGTAAGTAAGTTTATCTATAAATAAGCTGGTAAAATACAGCAGAAAGTCACTTACCCCTTGACTAGTTCAACTGCGATAAAGTCATTGCCATCACCACTGTTAAAGAGGATGAAACCATCAGCTGAGGTGGTCTTGAACTGAAAGAAGAGGTGCATGGATGTATAAGCCTGCAAGGTGGCCAAGCTCAGGTAGCTGCTCTTGGTCTTGAACGTCACAGGGTCAGCTATAATGTTGCGGAGACCAAAGCGCGCCTTCAGCTCACAATAGTCAATGTCACCGTTCTTGCACAGGTCAATGTAGAGCATCCCATTGAACATGAGGCTCTGGAGGTGGCCAATGAAGCTGGATGGGATGACAGAGATGTATCGTTTCTCCGTCATGATCCCTGTCTCGATGTTGTGGAATTCCAAGCGGGTGTGATCACCAACCATTGTGCCTGGAGGACAGAAACAAGCAGGAACATGCAGAAAGCCCAGGGATCAGTAGCAGGTTATACAGAGTCCTCACCCTCCAGTTTTCAGACTAATAGCAGTACGAACTTAATCCTATCTGTTCAGCAGCTTGCATAAAAAAGAATGTATAGACTCTTGGTGGAGAGACTCAAATCTAGCAGTTGCCAAAACCTGGCAGAAGAGAGAAGACAGGACTAAAGGGCCATGGGCAGCAAGCTCTGTATTTTTCACTGTGCTTCACAGACTTTCTTGTTTGCGAAGAAAACTAGGCCTCCGCCTTAAAACCTACAGTGATCTATTTGATCCAACAGTCCACCTGCCAAACAACTCAGACACTTCTGAAACAACTTTTACAAGTGCACTTCCTGAGAACACTCAATAAACATAGATTAATATAAAAAAAGCAGAAGGAGAACAGTCATAAACCTGCTAATATTTATTCTGTTGTTCTCTCCTGATGTTATTTCTCTTGTTTTAAGAGCACGGCAGGAGGCAAACCCACAAGAATGCAACACGCAAAAAGCCCTTCATATATTTAAATCATCAACCTACCACTTGGGCTATTTGTCACATTGTGATGGATTTTAACCTCTCAATTAAAATATTCAAGTTATTCAGCATACCAAATATGTCAGACTACTCTTGAAGCATATTTAAATGTTTCAGTAAGTGTGCTAGGCATCAGTACAGACAAAGAACCCACACAGACAGACAAAATACAGCAGTATGCTAGAAGACTAGTTTGAGTACAAAGGCCAGCTGGGCAACATCAGAATGAAAACCATTATGAACAACCTTATTTTAGTCCTCTATAGCTCTTCATTAAGATAGTTTTAACTATTTGGTCACACAAGCAAGCATGCTTTCTACAGAGGCCTTGTACCATTTAGTATACAACAGGAATAATATTAAATTCATTAATTATTCAACATTTAATTGTTTTCTCATCACTCAGTGTACGACCATTATTCAAACTCTTCTACAAATATGCCATTATTTTCTCACATGAAATTTTCAGCAGCGTCATATTACGTTTTTGTGGTGAGGTGCAGGCCGTGGGGTGGCCGCAGGGAGGCCTCTGTGAGGAGAGGCCGGGGCTGCCCCGTGCCGGACACAGCCGGTTCCAGCCAGCTCCAGCGGCCCCACTGCAGGGCACGGCTGAGCCCCTCAGACAAGATGGTGGCACCTCTGGGAAAGTGCATTTAAGAAATGACAAAATGTTGCCCATAAGCAAGGAACAAATTAAAAAAAAAAAAACCCAACCAAAACCAAAATAACCCACCAAAAAAACAAAACAAAAAACCCAACACCCACCAAACCTGTGAACACCAAGGTCAGAAAAGGAGGAGGGGCAAGAGACACCTCAGGCACCAGAGTGGAAATTCTCCAGCAGCCCATGGAGAAGACCACAGTGGAGCAGACACCCACACTGCAGCCCTTGGAGGACTCCCATGCCAGAGCAGGTGGATATTTCCTGAGGGAACCACAGCCCATGGAGAGCCCACACTGGAGCAGGTTCTCCTGACAGCCTGTGGAGAAGACCCATGCTGGAGCACTCCAAGAAAGACTACTGCCCATGGGAAGGACCCACACTGGAGCAGGGCAAAAGTGTGAGGAGGAGGGAGCAGCAGAGAGGAGCTATTACAGACTGACCAAAGCCTCCATTCCCCATCTTCCTGCACCACTGAGTGTGGGAGAGATAGAAAAGTCAGGAATGAAGGAGCAAGCCTGATAAAAGGGGGGAATGGGAAACATTCATTTCATCTTCTACTACTCCTGCAAGATTAAGGAATATTATTTTCAATTTTATATACACAAAGCTGAGGAATAGAGAGATCAACATATAAACAGTTTTGGATCTCAAAAAAGAAGTATTTGGCATCTAATTTAGTGTAATATGAACAACTTCAGAGCAGCTTTTGAGGCTCAGTACTTCTAGAAAAAAGATCCTGTATTGGGTTTGCATGGCAAGGTTTTGGTAGCAGGGGGGCTACACAGGTGGCTTCTGTAAGAAGCTGCTAGAAGCTTCCTGTATGTCCAACAGAGCCAAGGCCAACTGGCTCCAAGACAGACCCACTGCTGGCCAAGGCTAAGCCCATCAGCAACAATGATAGCGCCTCTGGAAGAACATACCTAAAGGGAAAAAAAAATCCCTGCACAACAGCAATTACAGCCAGAGAGAGGAGTGAGAATATGTGAGAGGAGCAGCCCTGCAGACACCAAGGTCAGTGCAGAAAGATGGGGGAGGAGGTGCTCCAGGCACCAGAGCAGAGATTCCCCTGCAGCCCCTGGTGCAGCTCATGGTGAGGCAGGCTGTCCCCCTGCAGCCCATGGAGGCCCATGGGGGAGCGGATCTCCACCTGCAGCCCAGGGAGGACCCCATGCCAGGGCAGGTGGATGTGCCCGAAGGAGGCTGTGACCCCATGAGAAGCCCGTGCTGGCGCAGGCTCCTGGCAGGACCTGTGGCCCCATGGAGAGAGGAGCCCAGGCTGGAGCAGCTTTGCTGGCAGGGCTGGTGACCCCACAGGGGACCCACACTGGAGCAGTTCATGAAGAACTGCAGCCCATGGGAAGGACTCACACTGGAGAAGTTCACGCAGAACTACCTCCCATTGGAGGGACCCCACATTGGAGCAGGGACAGAGCGTGAGGAGTCCTGTCCCTGAGGAGGAAGGAGCGGCAGAGACAACATGTGATGAACCAACCCCAACCCCCATTCCCCGTCTCCCTGTGCTGCTGGTGGAGAGGAGGTAGAGAAAATTGAGAGTGAAGTTGAGCCCAAGAAGAAGGGAAGGCTGAGGGGAAGGTGTTTTTAAGATTTGGGTTTAATTTCTCATTTTCCTACTCTGATTTGGTTGGTAATAAATTAAATTATTAATTCTTCCCCTAGTCAAGTCTATTTTGCCCATTATGGTAATTGCCAGGTGATCTCTCCCTGTCCTTATCTTGACCCACGAGCCTTTTGTTATATTTTCTCTCCCCGGTCCAGCTGGAGTGATAGAGTGGCTTTGGTGGGCACCTGGAATCCAGCCAAAGTCAACCCACCAGAGATCTACAATCCCAAATGAGTATTTCCCAAAAGGACAGGTATAATTAGTGATCAACTGTGAAAGATCCGACTTCAAGTCACTTATCCAGCTTTCCATAGGAACTCTAAGGAAGAGAAGTCAATTCCTCTGGGCTGTATTCACATGCCTTACATAGAGGTCCCTTTCTTCTTTTTTACTATGCTATGGCTCATTCACTACAGACTTTTCAAAGGGGATGTTAAAAACAAGCACCTCCTTTAATATAAGGACCTATGTCAACCTGTCCTTTCTTAATGTAAGCAGGGACACAAAACTCTTGTGGAAAAAGGACGGCAGCAGATATGACATTAGACAACATCAAAATGCGTACAAACACAGATCTACCTACTTTCAACTTCTCCCTACTTTTGCATGTTTCTCTACTTAACCTTCTAGTATGTTGCCAATATAATTACTGCACAGGTAAAGTCCTTGGTTTTAGAAGGTTTTCCAAAGGTAACAGCCACACTACCTGTTGGTCCCTCTGCCTCCAATAATACTTTAAAATGCTGGTTAAATTCAATCACGTTTAAAAGAACAGAAGGGTCAAAAATATTCAAATTCATACTAGTTTTATGAAAAATTGACACCGGGATAAAGACATGAATAAATGTTTCCAGTGTGCAATAGACAGACAAAATAATTTAGCAATGATATCCTGCTTGATTGCATCTGCTGATCAGCTAGCATATATACACAGCTCTGGACTAGTCACTGCAAGAGGTATTTCTGAGTCATTTGGATTATACCTGGGAGTCCCACTGATCACCATAGCTGAGTCCAAGGCAAACTCCTCTTTTAATTCCCTCAGGTCATATCAACTGGGACATACAAGCTTTCTCATATTTTGTGCTATCTCCTGAAATCTCCTAGCATTTCTCACCTAAACAGTTCCCAGGAATTAAAAGAAAGAAAGAAAGGAAAAAAATATATATATCAATAGGCTTTTCAAGACTTTTCCTTCTATTTGCAACATATTCTTTTTTTTTTTTCTGTTGGGGATAGAATGAAAGCTGAAAACATTTATAAGACACTTGGATGATACATTCCAGCTTGTGGTATAAAAAGAGTCAGATTAAATTAACTGGTGGTCTCTTTCTTGTTTAGGACCTCTTGAAACACTGGAATATTCCTAACTCACCTCTCACTATCATGTAAAAAGTGCAAATTTTCAGTTTATATTTTGTACAAATGTGATCAAGTTTTTACAAAGACAGCAAACAAGCACAGTTGTTATTAAAAAAAAAAATGCTTTCAAGTATCTATTCCAAATAGGTAGAGGAAATATTACACAAAACAATTTATTTTTTTCACTTATTCCAAATTTTAGCAGTGGATCTAAATTTAAAGACAATTATACAAAGACCATTGACATGGAAAGCTTCAACCCAAGCAGATACAGCTGGACAAACTTACAAGCAGCTGAAAAGAGTCACATATTTATGACGATTCAGAAATTCATGTGTACCTATGCAAATGTTTTTAAATCCTGAAAAAGTTCTTTACCACAAATAATAATACTTTAGTTTGAAAAATGCCAGTTCACAAGAACTGAAACTGTATATGGGAAAGTTTGTTTAGACAAACCATTTTACTTCCACTCCTGTGATTGTTAGGGGATGCTTCAGTTTTAGCGTTAACAACCAAAATTTATGATTTTTCCAAACCAGAAGAATTTTCTGTATTTTCTTAAAAATAAAATTTAAAACCCACTTTTTTAAAAAAATCCCACTTCTTAACTTGAAAAGATTAGAAAAATAAAATGCAGAGATGTCAAGGACCAAGAGCAAGAAAACTACTCTCCTTAGCTCTTCTACTCTTGGATAAATGCAAAGAAGAAGGTGTTGCCGGAGGAGGAAAGACAAGCCAGGCCTGTGAAATCTGATGTACACTGGGACAGGGAACACAGATATAGGGGGCATTAGAAGCAGAGTGAGGGAGGTTGGAAGAGGTGAACTCAGAATTTCAGAAAAGGTGAAAAATAAGAAAACTGGGACTGGCTTAAGAGAAATAGGACAGCAAGGACAGTGGTACTGCAGAAAGTTAGGAGTAGTTCAGTGAAAAGCTGAAAAGGACATGACAATACAAGACCAGAATCAGGACTGAGATGCATTTTCTTAAGAAATCATGGACTGAAATACAGCGTTTTCTGATCTCATTAGCTGTCAGCCTCACCTGCAGAGTTCTCCAATTCCTGCACTGTGCTCTGCAGAGAGTATTCTAACTGCTAGAGCAATCAGCAGCTCTTCAGTTCAAGTGGTAGCAGACAGAAAAAAATTTCAGCCTCCACTGCGGTATTTGGGTGCTAGCAAGATGTTGTAGGGAGGAATATGACTGCTGTATTTGTGTCTCATTTATCACTGATGTTCTGTAGTCTAGTCTGAGGCATGGGGGAATGTAGAAGGAGGGTTTTGCGATTAAGCAGCAAGAAGCTGTCCAGAGGAATGGATTCTGTCTCTCCTTTAGATGTCCTGCAGGAAGCCAAGTCAGTCACTTCATTACAAATTTTTCACAGGTGGTCATTAATTGTCTAGACCTAATTCTCCAAGTAGCAGGGTTGAGCTAATTTACAGGATCCAATTTAGACATGCTGAATATTTGTGTATGCAAATGACTGAAAAATCATGCCAAATTGGTACCAAATACATCCAACTTTAATCTGGTACCTTGTTTCCAAACCTGTAAAATGGGAAAAAGACACCTACTCACTTCATACAACATCGGCACAGGAATAAATCCAGTTACAGCTTCTTAGTTCTGTATAAACATATTGATGAGTAGCACAAAACACACACAAAAAAAGGGGGGAAAAACAACAGCTCTATTTTTAGAGCAAAATTTAGTTGGTATGCATTGTTCCAAACAAGCAATAAGAAAGGCGGCAGCAATCAAATAGGCTGTTTATTTTTACTGGGGGCCCAATTTAGTCTTCTGATCTATGCCTAAAGAGAGCAAGAATCCTGTGGAAAAATCTATGTGACCACATCATTGAAAACTATCATCTGCCCAAGGAAGTGGGATGCAGATTGCACAGAAAATCTTAACTCTGGCTTTTCTGACTTTTGACTTTGCCATGATGGCATTCTTTTAACAGATATTTTTAGCTGTAATGCATCTTTAATTATGTAATTCATATACATGTACATATGCACATCTTATTTTAGTACAGGACTGTATCATTATTATTTATAAACTCAGTTTCATGAAAAAGAGACTTCAAAAAACCAGATGGCTCTTTGGGGATTGAGTTGGTAATGCAGAGAGTGCCACCTCATGGTGCTTGCTGAAAAGGCATATCCAAAAGAATTGCTCTTAAATGCAGAAGTAAGCAGAATGAAATGTTTACCAGTATGTTTCACTAATTCAGAAAGTCCCCTCTTAAATGAAATTTCATTTCCCTACAAGCTAATGTTGACTAAGCCTCTGCCAATTCTAACAAGGAGAGGGAAAGATTCTTCTTCCATATGCTTCTGATTCTCTCGCAAATTCTCAGCCTATATAGCACAGCATATGTAAGTCATTTCCCTGCAAAGCTGGGCTCATTTCAAAATCCCGACTCATGGCTTTCCAAATAATCTAATTACCATATTATTTAAAATTAATTGCATTCACACAGTAGAAAAGAACTTTTTGCAGAGATAGAATACAGTATTCTGGCGCCGTCTATGGCAGCTGCTCCTTCCAGAAGAGAGGACATCAGCATTTAGTGAAACAGCGTGGGTCACAACTGAACGACCATACTCGTATCAGTGTTTGATCCAGGGTTATTGTTCTTTGTGATTCTATTATCAACCTTCAGACACCTAGTGTTTTCCTCAAAAACGCAGTTCCTACAGTTATATACAGCTATGTGAATTTTAGATCTTCAAAAAAAGAAAAATAAGTTTCTGGTTCTTGCAGCTGTGGGAAAACAGACCAGAAAAGCATCACCTCTAAAATTCTGTAATTAAAAAAAAGATCAGTCTAAAGTACCTTGATAATTTCAATGCAAATCTGATAAGAAAGTTGGTGTCTCCCAAGTTGAGTGATTGATCTCTTCTTCTCCCCTTCAACTACATTTTTCTACATTTTTTTTTCTTCTAGATTGCTCTGAGGCATAAGCACAGGAACTTGGGAAAAAGAAAAAAAAAGACACCACAACCTCCCTCCCCACCAAAAACCCAACAAACCAAACAAAACACCAGCAGAGACAGAAATCCATATTCTCTAACACAACTATCAAACACAGGTTTACCATCAAAGAAAGGTTTGTGCAGAGGAAAGGTTTAGACAGCCTTGGTTTTGATTCCACAGAGTTGGAAACCACTGCATTCGCAGCTCAGGAATCCATACTCACAGTGTACCCCAAACAGAGCCTGGCACAAGAGAGGGCTGCTTAGCACCTCTGCATTCCTGGGTACGCACAAGCTCATCTGTCCGCTAATCCCACATTTCATATCATCGTAGTTGTCACAGAAGTTTCTGGTGCTGGCTAGGAACAGTTAGTCTCTCAGAACCGAATATTAGCTTTCAACACAGTAACACTAACTATGCAAGAAGTAACAGGAAGGGAAAAAGAAAAAGATCCACATAAGAACGGGGAGAATATCTGTAATGGCAAAGAAGAAACTGTGAACAGAGATGCAAAACTAATGACCAAAAAAATACTCATACATCACATTTACCTTCAGCAACATCATCGTCCACCATCAGCTTGAGGCTCTTTCCTCGTCGAACTACCCGGACAGTGTGCCACTCGTTGTCATTGAGTTTCTGCCCAGCATAAAGAGTTTCAGGTCCCTTGCCTGGAGATGGTGATAGGTACAACAGTTAAAGCCAGACCACCCTTTAGTATTTGCTCAATGGGAAAAGTCACCAAAATCAGCCTGGTGTGATACAAACTGGTAGATTGTGTAGGTGTATTAAGACCTGTAATCAACCTTCACACCTACACCTTCCCAGCTCAGAGGGGAGTCAGGGTCACAAACTCTTCCACTCGGTGAAAGTGGCTTCCTCCGCAGAGCCCAGAGGTCACATACATTTAAAACAGAGGCAGAAATCTCTCTCGTGCTATGGTATTCATTTCCAAACGCCACATTGTACAGGGCACTGCAGTTTTAGAAAAAAAGCTGGTGACATAAACATCTCTAAAGTACAGCAGAATTTTGCTCTCCTAAGAACCTGGATTTACCACAGCCCTGAGGTGCTTGAGATTCTTTTCAAAGTTAATCACACTGGTCTCTCAACACTTAGGTATCGAACACCAGGCTGGTTTCAGTCTTTCAGTCTCAAAAAAACCCTCCAAAACCTACAACCCTCTCCCCCCCAAACCTCAAACCCCACCTCTTCCCCCAAAAAATATTTTTATTTTTTAGATTTCATACCACAGAAAGACAACCACTCACCAACCTGTCTGATTGGCCTAAGGTTCTTTGGCAAAGAAGCCTGGCTATATAAGGTGCTTGCTTCGCCCCCGAATTATGGGTCAAAAGGGAAAGAAGAGCCCTTTCTTCTCCAAAAGGTAAAACCACAGTTGCCCTTGCAAACAATGCTCCTGGGAAAACAGAATTAGTGCTACCCATATTCGTCCCGTTTTGCTACTCACCCATCACAGTTGACAGGCAATTACTTAAAACATTAATTGTTCAGATTACAGGACTGGAACACCTCACTCATGTCAAATGGTAACTGAAATTGAATACTGGTGTGTGCTAAATTAAAAGTATCTATGCGCATTTCAGTACGGTACTGGAGTGGTTTTTGACACAGGTACATCAGAGACATGCAGAATGAGGTCAGCAGAACTAGTTGCACATCAGGTCTGGACCCATTGCCCAAACTGGCAAAAGGGGAGCCCAAGAAAGAAAAAGCAAGGCACGCTGAACATACTAAAAGAGACAGGACAGGGACAACAAGAGGCACTGCTACAGCTCAGCTTACTGCACTGGTAAAATTCAGGTACGACATACAGATTATTTCTCTATGGTTGTCCAACACAAGCAAATCAATCTTTTCATTCAGATAGCCCACAAACAGCATGCCTTTTGACAGGTTTTCAATGGACTGCTTATGTAACACAGAACAAAATGTTGTCTTCAAGCGGAACTCTGCACAAGGGGATGCACCCGCTCTGATCTGTGCCATGGCATGGACTGACAAGTACATGGGCAAATAAGGTGGTGTTTCACTCAGCTAGGACAGAACATGTGTAGTAGGGGAATCCTAAGGAAGGAGACCAAAGCAAAATAAATATTCTGTTATTCTCCCTAAAGGATCATGCAGTTCACGTTAATAAAAAAGAAGTTTAATACCCTTTTAAATAAAGCCCATTTTTACCACAGAGCAAGAGGAAAAAACATTTTTGTACAGTGGCTTGAAAAATAAAAGGTCATTCTTGGATTAAAAAGTCAGGGAGTCATATATTGGAGTTACAGAGAATATCTCCTCAATAGGAGAAATGCATAGCCTTTGCAGTTCCTCACCCATGTGCCAAGGTCACACTGTACACAGTGTAAATCCAGCTGTATGAGGCAGCTAGATCATAGCCAGAAAGCTTAAGTTCTTTGGAACCAGACAAGCAAAACTCCTATTTAATAGAGTCCAAGAAAGCTGTGCTATATTTACATCAGTGAGTGAGTACGTTTTATCCCTTTAGCCAGTTTGTGTCCACTGTCCCAGCTGTGCCCCCTCCCAGCTTCTCGCTGGCAGGGCATGAGAAGCTGAAAAGTCCTTCACCAGTGTAAGCACTGCTTCGCAACAACTAAAGCATCAGTGTGGTGTCAACACTATTCTCGTACTAAATCCAAAACACAGCACTATGCCTGCTACCAGGGGGGAAAAAAAAGGTTAACTCTATCCCAGCCAAAACCAGGACACGTAGAGCACATGCCACAAAATGTCTCTGGGTGGCCAGCAAAATTATTGCCTACATCAAATACACTGCATCAGTTACTATAGTACCACACAGCCACTTCCCAGGTAGGAGGGTAAAGGAATTCATTTGGACCTGTGTGTTTTTATAATCCCACCTGAAAGCATGGGGGCAGGGGGCAGCAAATACTTTTTAAGAAAACCTCTTCCACAGGTCTAGAGCTATGGAGGCCTCAGCCAAGAGAAATGGTCAGGTGTGCCAACCTCCCTCAGCTAACAATACAACACTTTCTATGCCACAGCTTCATGTTCAACATTTTTATGCAGCAGCTCTATGTTCAACATGGCTGAGTAACTCAAGAGTTGCTGACCACCTAGTTCCCACTTTTCAACCCCAGCCCGACAAAATAGGGGTCAGGCAAAACAAGCTGGCTTGGCTTGTCATTGCTACCTTGATGCCTACTGTAACACTTTCAAAAAAAAAAAACAACCCAAATTGTGACACCAACAGAAGTTATTTGACTAGATTGTCAGAAAATGTAGCTTAACCAATTCACAAATAGTAGAAAGTTTCGGCTTTCCAACTTTTTTCCGAATGAGTAAGGCTGTCTACAAAATGAGAATGCTATTTAGAAGGAACTGCCTAATAGTTTGGGCTAATATATTTAAAAATTAAGCACTAAAGATGCAAATTATTCCATGTTCTCTAAGTCCATGTCTTTATCAGCCAATTAAATATTATATAAGTAGAAAAAAATTAGGATTTTTTTAATAATTTTGTTCACTCACAAACCTCCATTTTGTACGCAACAATGGGCATTGGCTTCTTTTGGTAGGGTTACCCAAATAACACTATGTACAAAAATTCAATACGTGAGCATGCTCAAGACCATTCAAATAAGTTTTTCAAACCAGACATATTTGAGTTTAAAAGAAAAAAGTGTGTTAAACAAACATTATTTTACTCTGTTTAAACTGCTTTCAAGACATTTACACAGCAGGTAGGATGACCTGAAAAGCAGCAAAATTGTGTCCCCATTTTTCATTTGCACACTGTTAGTTGAATTGCTGCTCCCTGTGTAAGCTCCCACTGAATTCCAAGTGGTTCCAGGAACTGTGCATAGAGGAATTCCCACATCTGGATGTAAAACTTATTTTCACTGAGCATGATTACTACATGTGCTGTTACTATATAGATATTTATGTGTGATCAATTTTTAAAAGACAACTTGAGGATTCCTAATCCAACAGCTGCAGATGCTGGGGGGAAGAGAAAGGAAATGGGCCACATGTAGCAGAAGGATAATGCTCTCCCTAAGTACCATCTCCTGTGCAGTAAGGCTTTTCTGCAGCCTTACAGCTAAACACATAGAAACAAGTGTTTACACCAAAGTTGATGTGGGTTTTGTGTGTTGTAGGGTTTTTTTTTCCTTCTTTCAAGCTAGCTACACCTACATCACCCTTCAACTAGGATAATCCAGATGTAGGAAGAAGCAAAGCAGAGGGTTAGCTGGACAGAGAAAAAAAAAGTCAAAGATCTGTATCTTCCCTTTGTGCAACAGTTTTTTATGATAAAAGCAAGGAAAAACAAGGAACTCCTGCAGCAATGTTCCGAGCTGGATGCCTGGAAACACTCTATAATACTTTTGATGAGATGGCAGTTGGGCATTAGGTAGTTTTTGCAATTTATTTAATGAGCGAGAAGAGTAGAAGACAACATAACAGGAAAAAGAATAAGAAATTTTCTACTATAGCAATAACTTAATAGTTAAGCTGCCAGAGCAAGTGTTGTTGGTGTCTCTGGTGGTCTTGGTCATTCCATCCCCTTTCCTAATGTCCTCTAGGGAGCTGTATATCAAATAGAATTGATCACTACCTCTTCTCTTCAAACTCAAATGAAGCAGACTAGCACATATTCCTTTGGTGCTTTGCAGTGGCAAACACTACTTAATCAGAAGCAAAATATCTCTCTTGGGCATCCCCCACATTCTGGACTTTATTCAAGCTGCAGTTCAGGCTTCTTGAGCAAATATTACTTGATTCAGCTGCAGCGACTCCTCCTCATGCTCTCATGAATCCTTTGACACCTACTCAAAACTTGTGTGCATATTGTGCATAAAAAACCAACTAGTATATGCTTTCAAACATGGAATAACTCCATCCAATCTGCCCAGGACACCTCAATCATTATCTCTATATCAATAGTGCACTGTTGCTAATTAATAGCTTGGCCCAAATAGACTATATAAAAGTGCCAAGAATAGACATGCCAAAGTATAAACAATCAGAAAGCCGTTCACGTCTTCTGAAAATGCCAAGTTGCTTTCCATCTGGCCCCCAAGAACTCGCTCATTTAGAACAAAAAACTGGTCAGAGGGATGCAGTTAAAACAGTAAACACCAGCTGTTGTCCACCCCTCAGAGGTTAATGGCACATAGGATTTCCCTCCTATGAAAGGCAAAGGAGGAAGAAGGTTAATCCCCTCAGCAGTTCCTCACAGGTGGATCGAAAAGCCTGCTTTTACCCTTGGTGCAGGTTGTCATCATCTGACCATTTATATGATTAAAGTGGCCTTCATGAAGCCAGGCTATCTTCATTATTGCGTATCTTATCCAACGTTACAGAAGAGGTCAAACATGCAAGTCTACAGAACAGCAAAAGAGACAATCAGAAAGGACGTTGCCAGATTGATGAGAACAGAAAAGGCTCTTCCTCATTACAATTGCAACAATAAATAATTCTACAATGATACACTAATATTTTTTAGAGAAGACTCTCACTAATAATAAAAAGGGTCTATCTACTCTTTTCTTTTTAATCAAAACGCTCAGCTACCATCTCAGCTTTGCTCAGTGGCCAGATGCATTTCTCTATCTGTTTTATCAGGGCAAAATCCCTCAAGAATGCCAACACCAACCCAAGGCAGGGAGTGGCT